ATTTAGAAGAGTTGCCTCTATTAACAATGCCCTCCCTCTCCCATGCCATGCCATGTTAGGTGGTAGTTGTGAGAAAGTCTGGGGGTTTGTTCTGGAGAACTAAGGTGTTTCTGGTCCTCAGCAGCTATTCCTGGCAACAGGGAGAGGAAGCACTGAAATGTTGGAAGTAGTAGGGCAGCCAGTCTTACCTGTACTGGGGTTTGGCATCCTGCCCAGGCAAGAGCGTGTGCCTGCTCCTTCCCACCCTTTTTTTCTCCTTCCCTCCTCCTCAAGGAACACCTGGTCTTGTGCTTTCTTCTTTGTACCTCTTGGGTTTAGTTCAATTAGGTGGAGGGGAGGAGAAGGGAGAGTGGTTTCTTATTTTGGGGGGAGGGGCACCCCCGTAGTCCTAAGATTGAGAGCAGCTGAACAGAAGGGAGGAGAGAGAAACTGGTTCTCTGACCTATTATGTTTCTAATAGTCGCTGGATCATCAACTTTAATGCTGGAAAGAATTTTAGCGACCATCCTGTCCAACCCTTTGCTTTTACAGATGAGGAAACTAACATGTCCAAGTTAAGTGAATCAAATTGGGACATGGAAGAACTGGGATTTGAACTCAGGTCTTCAGATTTCAGATCAATCCTTTTTTCATCCCTAACCTTGCTGCCTCCCTATGATCTCGAGATCATAAGGCCACTGGGCAGAGCTCTTTGAGGGACAAGGAAGCAAGCAACCATTGTAGACTTAGCTCTTTGTTGGTTGAATGGGTTCATCTTGTCACCTGGCTTCTCAGCAAAGGGTTCTATGGGAAGATTATCTTCATCCAGTCCCTTTCAACCTAGAGTGGGATTAAGGGATGTGCCAGGCACCATTCTAGGTGCTGAGAATTCAAAGACAAAAAATGAGCATGATCCTCGGGGATGGAAGGAAAGAAGCATTTATTAAGTACCTACTGTGTGCCAGGAACTGTGCTAAGCATGATAATGATGATGACGATGATGATTAACATGTATATATTGATTACTATGTGCCAGGCACTATACTGAGTGTTTTATAATTATCTGCATCATTTGATCCTTGAAACAACCCTGGTAGATTATTGTTGTTGTTCGTTTGTTTCAGCTCTTTCTGATTCTTTGTGACCCCATTTGGGGTTTTCTTGGCAAAGATACTGGAGTGGTTTGACATTTTCTTCTCCAGCTCATTTTCCAGATAAGGAAACTGAGGCAAACAGGGTTAAGTGACTTGCCCAGGGTCACATAGCTACTGTCTGAAGCCAGATTTTAACTCAGGGAGATGAGTCTTTTTGACTCCAGGCTCAGCATTCCATGCACTGGGCCACCTAGCTGCTCACTCTGGTTAGGTAGATGTTGTTATTATCCCTATTTTACAGATGAGGAAACTGAGGCAAAAGAGGTTAAATGACTAGCCCAGGATCACCTAGCTAGGAAGTATCAAAGGCCGGATATAAATTCAGGTCTTCCTGATTCCAGTGCTCTATCCAATGTATAACCTGGATGCTTCTAGAAGTTTATGGTTCCCTATAAGCCCACTTATGCCACTGACCCCCACCTCTCATTCTCCTTTAGATGGCCAGCTCAGTAACTATTCTATATTCTTCCTTTGGTCTCCCCTAAAATAAAAAGGAAAGAAAGCTCACTCCCTTCTGGCCTTGATGCACAATAACTCTGGCCGACCCCCCACTCCAACTCCCTGACATGTTTGCCATGAGACTTACTGCACTTGTGACTCTAATGAGGATAAAACAGGAGGAAATGGGTTAGAAATGCATCATAAAGTATTTATGAATGAGGGTTTCCTGAGTGTTGTTGAACACTGTAGAATGTTATCTGAAGTGATTTGAAAATCTTTACAAACAGGAGTTATTCTCATGTGTTCATGACAGCTAAATTTTATTTCAACCCAAGGGCCTAGATGACTTCTCATGGTCCCCTCAAGATTTCTCATTCTTATTTTCTCACTTGTTCTTGCCTCAGTTTCCCCTATTTGTAGTAGCTGTTGAATCATTTCAGTTATGTCCAACTCTCTGTGATCCCATTTGGGATTTTCTTGGCAAAGACACTGGAATGGTTTGCCATTTCCTTCTCTAGCTCATTTGACAGATGAGGAAACTGAGGCAAACAGGGTTAAGTGACTTGCCCAGGGTCACACAGCTGCTAGTGTCTGAGGCCAGATTTGAACTCAAGAAGATGACTCTTCTGACTCCAGGCTCAGCATTCTATCCGCTGTACCACCTAGCTACCCCATTTGTAATTGGGAAATGATATTTTCTCAGTCAAGGAAGTGGTTTTGAAATGGGACATTATTCTTGAAGCCGTTGGGAGAAAGGTGTGGTGAATATCCTAGCTGTCATGGTCATTAACCATCCCTATAATTACCAGCATTACCACGGTTGTTTTTACCTAGAATTTGGGCCATCCTCCAGGCTGGGGAATCTCCCAGAGGACTTGATCCCTTGCAGAGAGGCTTGGTCCTCATTTGCCCTGTCCATTTCTTCTGCTGTCTTCCCAGTGGGCAGATAGGTGTGTGCCCCAGCCATGAGACCGGGCCTCACAAGCCAAAGAATGGGCATGACCTTCCTTCTGAGCTGTCTCACCATTCTTGAATTCTGGTAGATCTGTCAACCAGGGCTCTACGAGCCTTAGGCCTTGTTCATCATGTTTAGCAAGGATGTGTGTGTGTGTGTGTGTGTGTGTGTACTATAAAGGCACTAGACTTGGAAGAAGAGCTGGGTTCAAATCCTGCCTTTGCCACCTACTAGCTATGTGACCTTAGGCAAGTCAATTAATTTCTCGGGGTTTTTACTTCCTCCTTTATAAAATGAGGGGGATGGGCTAGGTTAGCAGTTTGCAACCTAGGGTCCTACAACTTTAAAAACATTTTTTGATAATTATATTTTATATAGTTAGTTTTCTTTATAATTCTATTTTATTTTATGCATTTAGAAACATTCTTCTGAGAAGGGGTCTATAAGCTTCACCAGACTGCCTGAGGGGACTAAGACACAAAAATGGCTAAGAAACTCTAAACTAGATTACGTCCAAAGTCTTTCCCAGCTTGAACATTATCTTATCTTTGTGATTTCACTTCCTGGAAAATTCCAGTTCTTAGAACTTGACTTTGCCCCTAGTCTCAGGCTTTTACTTTGGGACTGCCTTCTAACTGCCCCTCACTGAGCCCCAGCTCCTCACCCTCTGGATTTCAGAGCATCTCAGTTCCTTCTGTTAGGTGCAGGGCCCAATCCCAAACTACATCTTCTCCTTCTGTTGCTGCCTGTCATCACAACTGGATCCTGGTTGGCCTCCTAGGAGAGGGATAGGAGCCATTAGGAGAAGTTGCAGAGAAACAGACATGGGCTTCATGTGAGGAAACACTTCCTAAAAATTAGAGCTGTCCAAAAGTGAAATGGGCTGGCTGCCTTTGGATGGCATAGGTCCCACATCTAAGTGATTTCCTAGAGCCTATAGCTAAATTTTCAGTGTGAACATTTACTCCTCTGGAATTGGCAAATTTACCAATCAGGGCTTAATTTGTTGCTTTGTTGATGACTTGAAAGTGATAGAGAAAATGAGAATAATGCAGATTAAACTAGAAAATATCTTTTTTTTTTTGAGTCAGCTGTTAAACATTTACCTGTACACCCCTGGTCTTCCCCTACCCCACGATCTCCTCTCTGGTGCTAGATAGCTCATTTTCAGCCTATTATAGAGAGATTTCCTATCCATGTCTAGGTTGGATTAGATGCCCTCTGAAGGTCCTTCCAACTCAGACTTTCTGTGATTCTAATTTTGTGATTTCCTTACATCTGAGCCATCTTATGTTTGAACAAAGGGGTTCCACATACAAGTTCATTTCTCTTGTGATAAACCTTGTTTTCACATAAGTCTCTTGACATTGTGATTGCCTGTTTGACAAAAGTCATTTTGTTTAGAAGGAGGAAAAAGCCAATTTTGGGGTAATTCTTGTCAGCTGTGTCTCAGGGCACAGCAGCTGCTCAGCCGTTGTGATGCCAGGCAGGGATCAGCGTAGGGACTCACCACCCGGGCTGTTGCCAGTCCTGGCTTGAGTAGGAAAATTTGGTTTGTCTCTTCACCAGAGCCCCCAGAAGAGCACCAGGAACTCTCAGTGAGGGAATCCCACTGAGGCTATGGATGCACAGTCCCCTTTGATAAACCCAGTGCCTATCACAGTACTCGGCACACTTAATAAATGTTTGTTGAGTGAATGAGTGAATGAATGAATGAATGAATGAGTAAATGAATCCTGCCAGACGGTTCAATGAAGCCCTGGAGCAAGTCCCACTATTTTGGCTGGTAATCTCCCCCGCCTCCCTCATGTCAATATAGGAAGTACTAGGGGGGTGAGAGGTTTGCAAATAATTGGCTACTTCTCTGGCCAGCGTGGCAGGGGCTCCTGATGTCATTTCCTTGTTGGAACAGCTGAGGGCTGGCAGGAGCCGGGCCCAGCCTGGGACTGTGATCTGTGTTTCATCATCAAAAGAGGTGCACTTAAAGTTCTTGTTGGCTGTTGGTAATTGCCAAAGCTTCCCTTCCTGGTCAGAATCATTAATTGCTTTAGACAATTATTGAAGTATAATTGTTCTATTAGCCACAAGTGGGGCAACTGCTGAAGTAAATACCTAGCTCCTGTGCTCTTGGTTCAAACTTGGAAATCCCGGAAGACCCAGAGTTCAATGTACTTTTAGGGGTTTTTTGTTTGTTTGTTTAACTGAATAAGTGAAAGGCCAAGAATGAAGATGCCCAGACTTGAGATTCCTATCCTTGAGTTGATCAGGTTCTGCTACATGAAATTAGAAAGATATCAGCATTTCTCCGTCATTCATCAATCGTTTTAGGGTTGTAAATAACCTTGTTGCACAATCAGTAAACTGCATGGAAGCCCTTGGTCTGGGAGCAGCTGGGTCTTAGAGGTGTTTGCTCATAACCTTTTCTCTCACCACACCCGGAGGTTCTTGGGAGGAGCTGATGTTTGAACTGCTCTGCCAGGATGCTCTCTTTGTCAGGACTAAGGCTCTGCTGCCTTCCTGGGTCCTGCCACATCCTTCTCACACAGCTCGTGGGTACACAGGGAGAGAAACAGATCTCCCTTCTCGGGGACATGGTGCATAGGACTGCAGTGGGAGATTTAAGCTGTGGCCTCTCTCACAGAGGCCTGGATGTGTGTATCCTGCGTTTGGGGAATGTAGGACTTTGCTGCTGATGTCTCACTCCCTGGGAAGATGGATAGACCAGGGGTTGGCAGAGTATTCAAACTCTTTGGTCCTTGGCTGCCCCGGAGATCAAGATGGACAGGTCTGCTCTCTGTTTACAGGATGATGCCATGCATCTTTCTCTCTTCACTTGGCTGACTTCTCTATTTTTGTCTGGCTTCTGGGTTTCTCTTACCTCCTCCCCTGTATCTTGACCTCCTGATCTGCTGCACGAGTGAGCTTCCCTCCCCCCCCCCCCCCCGTGCCCCCAGTGCTGTTAGCTAGTTATGTGACCTTAAGGAAGTTACTCCCTCCTCTCCAAGCCGCAGTCAAATGAAGAGAGTAGAAAAAAAAAATACTGACTCTGGAGTCAAAGGACCCAGGTCCAAATCACATTTCTAAGGCTTACTACCTATGTGACCTTGGGCAGGTCATTCTTCCTCCCTGGGCCTCAGTTCTTTATCTGTAATGAGGGTGATGGACTGAGTAGCCTCTGAGGTCTCTTCCAGTTTTATGCTTAGGAACCATGAGACGCCTTCTTGAATAACTCAAACAGAATTATAGTCTAGACAGTTGTTTAAGTGGGGATTGGGAGGCAGGTAAAACTCTTGGTTTTCTCAGGCCTCTTGGGACTGCTTCAGATCTGGAGTGGGCAGGGGGATGGGGTGGTCAGAGGAACCCCGGGGGCTTTCTTTGTTCCAGTGTATTTTTCAAGTGATTTGTTTTCTCTTTTCAATTCCTGTTGCGGGCTCCCTCCCATCCCAGAGTCCTGATAATGCAGCTAATAGGTAACCTCCCACGTTGGCCATCTTTCGTAAGTTTGGTGAGAAGTATGAGGGCACAGAAGGGGTCTCCCGACTGCTTAGGCCCCTACTCTGTGTGCCTCGGGGACCCTGTGTGAGTGAGCTCTGGTGTCTCTGTTTCAGTTCCCCGTGAGGAAGCCCGAGAAGGCAGGAAGGAAACAGAGGAGACCATCAGAGAGCCCTCCCTGTCCAACTACACAGGGGGACCACACTTTTTTGAATATCTCTTTGTGGTTTCTCTCAAAAAAAATAATTCGGGGGATGATTATGAGCCCACGATAACCTACCAGTTCCCAAAGGTAAGGAGCATCTTGGTTTATTTTAGGATTCCTTGGGGAATGGGAGGAGGAGTGGAGGTATTTCTCTGTCTTTCCTTATTGACTTTATTCATTTGATTATTTTTCCTAAACCCAAGCCTAATTTCTACCACTATCGGCAGCCATGTGCGTGAACTTCCCTTCACTGTCTGAATTGAGTCCCCCAGGAGATGCTTCGGATCTTCCCCAGCAGGCATACCTAGGCCCCATGTCCCCTTCCCTCTTACCCTGGTGCCGCACAGACCCCACAGGATACCCTTCAGATAACCTTCAACCTAGCCACCCTTCTTGCCTGTTGTCATGGGGGCTGATGCTTTCTTGTGTAGGCGTGTGTGTGTGTGTGTGTGTGTGTGTGTGTGTGTGTGTGTGATCTGCCCACTAGAATTGCCCTTCCTGTTAACCCTTCTTCTTTAGAATTGCTCCTCAGGTTTCTTGTCCCTCTGTTTGCTGCATTTGTCAACAGTGTGCGGGGGCCGGGGGTGGGGGGGTGGGGGGGGAGGTGCACGTGGTGCAAGAGACAGAGAGAGACCAAGGCAGAGATTATGTACATATGTGTATGTTGGGGTTGAGAACACGAACATTGGGGAAACTCTGTGCTCCAGGACACTCCTGAGCAAACTGGCCGCTTTAGGGATGTTTTCTCTCTCTCTCTAGGGTACACGAGACTCAGCAGAAAGATTCTTGACTTTCGAGTCAGAGGAATAAGGTTCAAATCTCACTCCTGTGTGACTTTGGATTAAGTCACTTCATCTCACTGGACCTCTGGTTCCTTCCCTGTAAAAGAGGGTTTGATATATGGCCTCTGAGGCCCCTTCTGGGTTTATATCTATTATCCTCAGAGTCCCACTCTATGTAGATATTTCTGACACTCAGTGGCCCTATCTTCTGTCTTTACTGTATAGACAACAGGGACATCAGCGAAATGGAAATGAAACTTTGTACTCCCTCCCCCCACCAGGAGAGACTAGGCCAGACTGGGACATCTCAGTCTTGGAAAATCCATAGCTAAGCCCTAGTCCAGGTGTTTATGCTATGAACAAAGAAGGCTTTGGAACCTTGGGTCAGCAAGACAGCTGACCTAGGATCCCTGAGACCCTAGAAGCGAGCCAACTCACCAACCTTCCTGGTCCTCTACTTCTGACTATTGGCTTTCCCTTACAGCGAGAGAACTTGCTCCGGGGCCAGCAGGAGGAAGAGGAACGATTACATGGTGCCATTCCCTTGTTCTGTTTCCCTGATGGCAATGAATGGGCACCCCTCACTGAATACCCCAGGTATGGGCCTTGCCCTGAGGCAAGGGAAATGATGGAGGTTGAGAAAGGGTCCTAGCATCCCGAAGAACTTAGGTAATTTGTAAGAAGTAGCCTTCCCTCTTCCTTTTGGGAGGTTACTTGTGGGTCTATTTTATATTTATTGGTAGGTACATACAGAGTTGTAGCTGTTAAAGCTTGAAGTGGCACTAAAACTTTTGGGACACTCTGTATATGGCTAGATAGATGATAAATATGTATATATGTATATATACATATATGCACCAATATATAAATATACATTTATGTAAATATATATAAACATAAATATATTTTTATATACTAATATATTTTTATATATAAATACACAAATATATAAATAAATACACAAATGTACTCACATTATATATAAGTAATATGCATATCTACATATATATAGGTCATATATGTGTTTATGCATATGCAGTTATATTTTTTTTAAAAACTGAATCTATGGTTTCATTGATATAGGGAGATCCTGGTGAGGAATGCTCTCTTCCAACACAAGTGGGCACCTTCTCTGAACTCATAATCTTAGAGAGCTGCCTGGGGGCACTGAGAGGTTGGGACTGCCCAGGGTCCCACAGCCGCTATGCATGAGGAGCAATATTTGAAATTAGGTCTTCCTGACTTTGAAGTCAGCTATCTCACCACAATACCATATATAACCTCTTCCTCCCTCCCTCCCTCTCTCTCTCTCTCTCTCTCTCTCTCTCTTTCCCTCTCTCTTCTCTCCTCCTGCCTGTCTCTGTCTCTGTCTCTGTTTTTCTCTCTCTCATCTCTACTCCTGTCTGTCTCTTTGTTTTTCTCTCTCTCATCTCTCATCTCTCTTCCTGTCTCTCTGTCTCTCTATTTCTATCTCTCTCATATACACATGTGTGTATATGCATGTACATATATATCTATATACCTTTGACATATACTTACATATGTGTGCATGTGTGATATAATATACACCATTATTATCTTCTCTTTGGAATTATTTCCCTAGTACTTATGAGTTTGCCCTGAGCTATTTACATATTCTCTTATACAGGATCCCCACGGCACACATTACTGAATCATAGAACCTCAGAGTTAGAAGAATTTCACATGCCATTTAGAGTCCCACGTCTAATGAAGCCAACGAAGCCTCCCCCAAAGGGAAAAGTCTGCCAACTATGGTCCAACAATCTTGACTTTGTTTCTTGGCAAGATTCTAGAACATATTATTAGAGGGATGATCAGTGAACATCTAGAAAAGGAAACAGTAATCACAAAGGGCCAACATGACTTCCTTAAGAATGGATCATGATGAATGAAGTTCATTTTTATTGCAAGGGTTACTAGACTGAAGCATCAGGGGGAATGTTATAGTACAGTTTACCTAGCTTTTAAGAAAGTATTGGACAAAGTCTCTCATACTATAGAGATGTGGGGTAGACATCTGAGTAAGAAATCTCTCTACCACATAGCCAATAAGTGAACAGCCTCTGCTAGAAACTTGCTGTGAATGAGAAGCCACTAATTACCTCTTGAGATATTCTGTTCCACTTTCAGAGACCTCTGATTGTCAGGACATTTTCCTCTTATGTCATGCTGAAATCTGCCTCTCTAGCTTCTTTGTTCTTAGTTCTGCCCTCTGGGGATAATACAGAACTATTTCCATGACAAATATTTATACATGGAGACAGCTATTATGTTCTCCCCAAGTCTTCCCTTCCCTGGGTTAAACATGTCCAGTGTCCTCAATGAACCCTCACATGGCATGATCTCAAGATCTCAATTGATCCTGGTTGGCCTCCTTTGGACACTCTCCAGTTTATCAATGTCCACTCTAAAATGTGGCTCCCAGAACTGAAACTAAAATGCCAGATGTGGAATGCCCTCTAAGTTCCATTCCAGCTATAAGATTGGGATTCACCACCTCACTAGTCCTGGACACTAAACTTCTCTTAATGGTGTCCAAGATCACAGCCATTTTATCTGCTGTGTCTCATTGTTGACATATTTTAAATTTTGTAACTTGTGAAAACTCATAGCTCTTGTTCAGATGAACCATACCTCCCTGATTTTTTTTTCTTGTAAAGATTCTTGGACCCAAGTGTTTATCCATATTAAATTTCATCTTTTTAAATTTGGCCCAACATTCAAGCCTGTCTGGTTTTTCTTTTGCAATCCCAACTCTTTTAATCCAGTGAGTTAACTGCCTCTTATAGTTTTGTTACCTAAGAAGTTGATAAGCTTTTTGCTGAGTCACTGATAAAAATGTTAGCCAGCACAAAGGCCAGCCCAAATCTTTAGAGCATTCCATTGGAAACCTTTCTGAGCTGACATGGATCCGTTAATGATTACTTTTGGGGCCTGGCTGTTCAACTAGTTCTGCCTCCACCTAAATGTACTGCCATCTATCCCACATCTCCATAGCATGAGAGACTTTGTCAAATGCTTTCTTAAAACCTCGGCAAATTATACCATAACATTCCTCCTGATGCACTAGTCTAGTAACATTTTTAACAAAGGAAAAGAATTTCATGAACCATTCTCAATGAAGTCCTGTTGGCTCTTTATGATTACTGTTTCCTTTTCTAGATGTTCACTGATCATCTCTCTAATAACATGTTCTAGAATTTTGCCAAGAAACAAAGTCAAGATTGTTGGACTATAGTTGGCAGACTCTTCCCTTTGGGGGAGCCTATGAATGTTTCTTCTTTGGGCATGGTACTCTAAGCAACTGAACTAGCTAGCTGCCCCCAGCTTGTAAAGAGGGTGTGTCCCATTCCCTTCCATAAGCTACCCCACAAGCTGTAATCATCCCCTTAGCTCTTCCTGGAGTTTGCTGCTGTTAGCAATGACCCTTGAATCTGCTTCAGTAACTGACACTGTGGTTAAGCTTTGGGAGACTAGCCTAGGTGGGCAGGAACCCTAGCAATCTGGCTGTTAGCCCCTCTCCTGTTTCAGAATCTAGTCTGAAAATGTCTCTCCTTTTCTCAACTTCAGGGAAACATTTTCTTTCGTTCTGACCAACATGGATGGGACCAGGAAGATTGGCTACTGCAGGCGACTCTTGGTACTGCTCAAACATTCTGCTCCCCAATTTTCCTATTTCCTTTGCTTGGGTACCCCTCACAAATTCCCTTAAATCTAGAATTTGGAAGGCAGGGTCCACTACCCCTCAGTGGCACCCTGCCTGAGGTCTTCAGAGGAAGTTAGGGCTAGATGTCCTCCCCCTACCACCCTATATCACATCCCTTGCTAGAGTTGGGGTTGCAGAGCCCCTTGGGGCAGTCTACTTATTCTTACTATGGGGAACCCCTCACTGTTTTGGTTTCATCCTTCTCATTGTGGTAGCATCATCTGTATCATTCTCCACACTAGAATTTGCTTCCTAGGTTCTGTTCCTAATACAGGAATCTTTTGCCCCCCTTACCAGGCCAGTCCTTTCCTCCTTTCCTATTTCCCTAGCAGTAAATAACCTTTAACACTTCCCATCTTACTTCTGTGAACAAGTCAATAACCATGTAGTGACTGCTATCCCTGAGTCTTCCCTAGCCAGCCCCTTCTCCTTTCTTCTCCTTTGCTATTTTGTGAGCCAAGACTTCTGACTCCTTTGCCCCGAGTTAGGGAGATTCCTAGGAGAAGTTCCCATGCCGAGAAATAGCCTCCTTTTCTTTGTTTGCAGCCCGCCGGCCCCGGCCCCCGGCTCCCAAGAGTGTACTGTATCATCAGCTGCATCGGCTGCTTCGGCTTGTTTTCCAAGGTAGGGGTGGGGTAGGGATTTCCCAGCTGCTGGCTGGGGCTCTGGGCCTGTTAATCCTGTTTGACAGCCCTTCTCTGCCTTTCTACCCTCCCTGTCTAGCCTCAACCCCTCAGAACTGCCTCTCTGGAGTCTGAACTCAGAAATGCAATTAAGATGCCAGGAAGAATCGTCTTCCATCTTGCTCACTTGCAAAACAAAAACTATTACAGATAGGGATGGGGCAGAAGTTAGAGTAGAAGAGAGGAGTGATGGGGCCCATGGAATCTCGATAGCACCAGACCTGGAAATGGGGAACATGGATTCATGTCCTGGTTTCCCCACTAATTGTCTGGCATAGGGCTAGTCACTTAATCTCTCCTTCAGAATGTTATTAATTAAGAGGCAGCCAGGGGACTCAGTGGACAGAATGCTGGGCTTAGAATCAAGAAAACATGAGTTCAAATTGGGCCTCAGACACTTACTAACTGTGTGACTCTGGACAAGTCACTTAACCTCTCTTTGCCTCAGTTTCCTCATCTGTAAAATGGAGATGATTATAGCACTTACCTCCCAGAGTTGTTGTGAGGATCAAATTTGTTAAGTGTTTTGCAAACTTTAATGTGCTATGCAAATGCTACCTACTATTATTATTATTAGAGCTAGAAAGAGCATCTGAGGTCATGTAATCTTTGGACTCATCAGGTAGCAACCCCCACATCCCTAGGCAATAAATACCAGATCTAAGATTCAAACCCAGGTCCTTTGACATCAAATCCTCCGTGCCACACTATCTCATTCTTGTTTATACACACACACACACACACACACACACACACACACACCCCCGCTAGATAGCTCTATCTCTACATACATTTGTGTATACACACACACAGATAGATATATTGACATATATCTATTTAATTCAAATTTTGCAGATAGCTTTATAAATATTCTTATTTGGGGGCTAGGTGGTATAGTGAATAGAGCAACGGTCCTGGAGTCAGAAGGACCTGAATTCAAATCTGGCCTCAGACACTTGACACTTACTAGCTGTGTGACCCTGGGCAAGTCACTTAACCCCAACTGCCTCACCAAATACACACACACACACACACACACATATTCTTTTTTGATCCTCATAACCCTATGAGGTAGGTCCTATTAGAATCCCTATTTTACAGATGAGGGAGCTGAGGCACAGAGGGGTTAAGTGAATTACCCAGAGTTTCACAGCTAGTACCTGTTGAACTATCCATTACACTAGGCTGCATTTCTGTGAAAAAGAAAAAATCATTCTGCCCTTTGTGTGTCATAGGGATGTCGAGAAGGTCCAACAAGATCAAAGGAAAACAGATTTAGGGCTCAGAGGGACCTTGGAAATCCTCTAGTCCAACCCCTTCCTTTTACAGAGGAGGAAAGCGAGGCCCAGAAAAGCCCAGCGACTTTGCCCCAGTCACCTGGATATTACCTGGATTTGAATCCAGGTCCTCAAATTCTAAGCTGTTTCCACTACCACAATGGATGTGAAATGACTTTTCAATATAGCCAGACGACAGTTTAAATAATTATTATTTTAAGCAAGGCATTCATTCCCTTGAGGCAAGGTCTAGAAATTCCACCCTCCCAGTGTTACTGGTAGCACTGAGCCTTTGTCATGAAGAAGGATGACTTGACTCCCTGCAGAATAAATACTTACACGGCAAGGAGAGCAGAACTTTCTGGCATGAAAAAAAAAGTTCATTTATAAAAAGCAATGTTTAAAAGGATTTGAACCTAGTCCTTCAGACTCCAGATCTCTATTATATCACACAGAAGCCTAGTTAGTTTAGCTCAAGGGTTCTTAACATTTCTGTTTTATGAACCATTTTGACAGCCTAGGGAAGCCTATGAAATTTTTGTCAGGATAATGTTTAAAATAATTAAAGGAAATGCTCAATTTTAGTCAGAGGCTAGTGAAAAGAAAGATGTATTTTTTTTTCCAATCTAAGTACACAGATCCCATGAAATCTATTCATGGACCCTTTGGAGGGATCCATGGACCCCATGTTAAGAACGTTTGTTTTTAGTTGGAGGGGAGAGCCTAGAGAGGGGAGTAACGATCAGTGAGGGGTCCTGAAAACATCAGAGCATTGGTTAAATTAGATAATGCCTGGGGGTGGGGGTGGGTGGAGGCTTTGCCTTCTTTCTTTGGGTTTTCCAGTCATACTCGACTTGAATCTTCTCTATAGATCCTGGATGAAGTAGAAAAGCGGCATCAGATCTCCATGGCTGTCATCTATCCATTCATGCAGGGTCTTCGGGAGTCTGCCTTCCCTGCCCCTGGGAAGACAGTCACCCTCAAGAGCTTCATCCCTGACTCTGGGACCGAGGTAGGCTGTGTGTATTCTGTGGAAACTCTACCCTGACTGGAGTGTGTTCCCACATCCCATGCCAGCATCACTTGACTGATGTGTCCCCCTTTATCCTATCTCTGTTTATCCCTTCTCCAGTCATTCAGATATTCCCATTCAGCAGATGAAAAAATGGAGGAGGAGCCAGTAATTTACTAGAGTTGGTAGCAGAAATTGTTGAGTCATTTTTCAGTCATGTCTGACTCTTCATGACCCCATTTTGGGTTTTCTTGGCAAAGATATTGGAGTGGTTTGCCATTTCCTTCTCCAGCTCATTTTACAGATGAGGAAACTGAGGCAAACAGGGTTAAATGACTTGCTCAGAGTCACACAGGATTTGAACTCGGGATTAGGAAGACTAGTCTTCCTGACTCCAGGCCTAGCACTCCAACCCAGGAGTGGGGAACTTGTGGCCTCGAAGTCACACGTGGCTTTATAGGTCCTCAAGTGAAGCCCTTTGACTGAATCCAAACTTCACAGAACAAATCCACTTAATGAAAGGATTTGTTCTGTAAAACTTGGACTCAATCAAACTCAAAAGCATATGGAAGTGATTATTGATAAATCAAAATAAATTAATATAAAAAAAAAACTTGAACTCCATCAAAAGGCTGCACCTAAGGACCTAGAAGGCCACATGTGGCTTTGAGGCCACAAGGTCCTCACCCCTGCCCTATCCACTATTCCATCAAGCAGGAAACAGAATCAGGTATCTTGACCCCCAAGTCCACGAAGACTTCAGGCTTTCGGAAATATGATATGTAATATACTCCCTGATCAAAGCTAATTTTCTTAGCATTGTGTAGGCCACAAAGTGGGATGTTACTTTCCCTTATCATTGCTCTTGTCTTTCTGTCCCATGTCTGCCTCTCTGGCCTCCTGTCTTCCTCGCACACATCCTCCTCACCAGGCCTCCTGACTCTCTTTCCTAGTCTATATCTCACAAAGATATCATGACTTGGAGGGAGTTAACCAGCCTGTATCCCCAAAGGCCAGCTTCACGGTGACCCTGCCATGTTCCGATGTTCCCTTGCAGTTCATTTCCCTGACGCGACCGCTGGATTCCCGCTTGGAGCATGTGGATCTCCGCTCCCTTTTGCGATGCCTGAGTCACGAGCAGATCCTACAAATCTTTGCCTCCACAGTCCTAGAGAGAAGAATCATCTTCCTGGCTGAGGACCTCAGGTAGATCCCATGTGTACCGACCAGCTTCCCTGGGATTCAGGGACCGTATGGAGTTTACCTACTTCCCTCCCACCCTGGTGTTGAGAAAGGCATCCAATCTTTAAGGAGGTGTCATGAATCAGTGTGGGGGCAGATTTAATTGTATTCTGGGGGCACTTGGAACTAAGCAATTAAGAGAGGACTTGGCTAGGAAAGAAGCACATGCAGCACTGTGGAGTTTGAGCCTGCAGCCATTGTCGGCAGCTCTGAACTCTCAGACGGCTCCACAGGGATGTAGACCAAAACAAACAACATAGATAAGGTCTCTGCTTTTTGGAAGGTGACAAGCTAATAGACCTTGAATTCATGCCAGAGAAAAGAAAGAGAAAGCCAGGGCACTGACTGGTAGGTTAGGCCAAGAGCCTTGGTTCTAGTGTTGGGGGAGAGGAAAAAAAGATTTTGGGACAAAATTAATTCAGTCCAACGTTTTCTTAAGTACTTATCACAGACAAAACATTGTGCTAGGGGCTGGGATGCAAAGATGAAAAATAAAAGTCTTTGCCCTCAAAAAGCTTCCCTTCTGCTAGGGGTGGGGGACGGTGGTGTTAGGATACAACACATACACAAATCAGTATAAAAACCGGTCCGAGAGCACCACCAACTGGAGGTACCAAAGAAAAGATAATGGAGTGCGCCTGGGGCTAGTGTTCTGAAAACCAAAGGGTGATTCTCGAAAATGAGGTGGCGAAATGCCTTGCTGATCCTTAAGAGACATGGAAGAATCATCTTCTTTGGAAATGGCCTCTCTAGCCCCAATCCCCTATGTACAGGAACAAGTAGGAAGAATTCCTGGCAGTAGCTGGAGCCAGGACCTTCTGCCTTTTCCTGTGTTCAGGAAGTGAAAGTAACTCCAGACACGTGTCTGGCAGCTATTCTGTGTGGCCCCTACCTCTGCTCTGGGATTTGAACAGAGCATAGAAAGGGGGGCTAAGCAATATTTCCCCATTTCCTGTGTTTCCTTCCTCCCTCCCCCTCAACTCTCCACTAGACATAGGAACGAGGGGGAGCTTCCTGGCAGCCTCCTCCTGGCCCTAAAATCTTCTATGGAAAGAATCCACTATTTCCCATCTTCCTTCCCATCCCAGGTTTCGGGATCTTCCAAGCTGAATCAGGGAGGGGACTTCCCAGCCAGGCTGGGCTCTGGCCAAATGCTGAGTATTTCATTACTTCTCAGGAAGCCTCGGGGCAGTGCTAAGAAATGGCACTTTCTACCTGCTCTCCTTATTGGCTTTCACTTTGGGGGCAACTGGCAGTTGTGACCTAGAAATCAGCGATGGCTAGTGGGAAGCAAAGATAAGGGGAAGAAGGAAGCTGTGGCTTAAGGAGTGAGCACCCACCCAAACAGGAGAAGGCTTCAGTGGGAAGAGAGGAGGAAGCACCTCTATGGGACTTTCCATCTGGGAAGGGTTGGGCGGAGTATTCCTGGAGCTTAGGAGTTTCCCAAGGTCTTCTGGGTGCCAGCCTGAGCTTCTTGACCCTAGGCCTGGGCTTAAGGAGCTGGAACTCCAGCTGGTAATTTTCATAGGTTACAGGGTTTGGGGGAAGAGAAAAAGAAGGGAGATATAGGGGAGGGGGAGTGGGGGCAGACAGTACTCAGGCAGAGTGAAAGGAGATTATGTCCTGTTAAGGAGATAGAGTGGGTATACTTCAGGACCCCACAGTCTACTTTACGCACCCTACTTCTGACTTTGGTTGATGATGAACTGGTATGTGAGAAGGGACGTCCTCTGCCTGACTCTGGTGAGTGGTAGCAGCTGCTCCCACTTATAGCCTTATGGAGGCATTCCATATGTCTACCATCTTGCTCTTCTCCCAACCCCTTCAACTTTGACACCACAAGTTACTAGGCCTGTTTAAAAAAAATAACACTGGGGCTTGGGAACATGGGATTTATTTAGAACTGGAAGGGACCTTAAGAGATTGCCTAGTCCAGAGTCCACAAATGTTTTTGTAACTATTTTGATAATTGTATTTCAATATAATGGGTTTCCTTTATAATCTTATGTATTTGATTTTATGCATTTAAAAACATTATTCTGATTAGGTGCCTGTAGGCTTCACCAGACCCTCTCCAGAGGGGTCCATGACATAAGAAAAAGTTAAGAACTTTGATTTAGTCTAACTCTCTCATTTTACAGATAAGGAAACTGGGTCCAAACAAGATAGGTGAATTTGCACGAGGAAATAGAAAGATATAGTAACTGAGCCAGGATTTGAAAAAGCAGGTGGTCTGACTCTAAAGCCAATGTCCTTTCTACTCTACCATATATGTTTCCTTACATTAGCAAAGGCAAAGAAGCAGATTGAGGCTTCTTCTGAATGTGGTTGGGGGTGGGGAGTGGCCTGTATTCCCGGGCAAGCTGGTTCGGTCTTTGCCTGCCAGGCTGGACTCTGGCTGGGGCGGGTGGGTCCCACCCTGGGCTGCAGTATTCTCCCATGTTATCATCCCCAGCACCCTGTCCCAGTGTATCCATGCTGCTGCCGCGCTGCTCTACCCCTTCAGCTGGGCCCACACCTACATCCCTGTGGTCCCCGAGAGGCTTCTGGACACAGTCTGCTCTCCGACTCCCTTCATGGTTGGAGTTCAAAAGCGGTTTATTCAGGATGTTCTGGACAGCCCTATGGAAGAGGTATGGTTTCCTCCTTACAAAGCACCCCTACTTTACTTTATGGTGGAGTGAAGGGACACCACCAAGCACATATAGGGGCATCACACACTGACCTTGGGGAAAGGGAATTCTCTGTCCTGATCCAGGGAAAAGGGACTGTAGTCACCGTTTATAGTATCTCTCTTCAAACTGATTCCTGGTCCCTAATGGCCATGTCTACACAGTAGAAACACTACCAGAATTTTTCCAAGTACCTAGTAAGTGTGTCAATTGCCTTTATCACCCACATTAAAAAATCTGGGGTTGGTGTCTAACCTAAGAACTTGAGTGGTTATCATCTGAGCCACTGGGTGGGCTAACTGAATTAGTTTAGAATACAAGCTAATGAGGACATGAGTTTCAGTCTCTTGTGAATTAGTTAGATACACTCTTTTCCATAGCCACAGAGGGAAATCTTACATTAGCCAGCTCTCTTACAAATGCCACCCTTTAACTATCCCCACCCTACCCTACTGAGGGTAGGTCAGAATGCTCCTCTACAGAGGACATTATTATAACTTAAACCAATGTCGTTCTTTGCTTGTGTGTATACTAACAATGGACACACCCCGTGCAGACAGATGTTCCAATAAAAGAACCTCAGTTTCCTACAAGGAAGTTATTGGGATAGGTATAGCTCCAGCCCTGCAGAGGGGGTTCCTTATTTTAGAAATGAGGAAACTGAGGCACATTTTATGGTTGAAGGAACTTACTCAGCCAGTGGTCGAGCCAAAGGAAGACCCCAAGCCTCTCTGAGACTTAGCTTGTCCTTGGGTTATTTACTAAGGAGCATATAACTGGAAAGCTGGTCTTATACTCACTTATGTCTCTTCCTTCTCTCTCTCCATGCAAATTTCTGTTCTGCTTACTTGGATGCCAATATTCTCATTTAGAGAACAGCCTTGATCTCATGACCTGGGGTTGGGAGTAGGGGAGAACTCCCTATGTGTTAGGTAATGAGTTAACCTCATTTCTGAGGTTTTGAAATTTCCTGACTTCATCGCTAAGGTGTGGCTTTTCTGGATGCCAGAGAGGAAGCAACACTCCTCTCTCCCCTAATTTCTTCTCTCCCTCTTCCCTCCCTCCCCCCACCCCATATACATACACATAGATTCTCACTCACCCTGCCAAGACTCTTGGCAGTGTTACAGAACCTGTCAATGAAACAAGCCAAGTTGAGGGAGGAATTGCTCCAACCTCATTGAGTTTAATTTTTCAGGGGACTGCATACAAAAAAGAACATATCAGAATGTTAGTCAAGTCAACAAGCTTTTAGTAAATGCCTACTATATGTTAGGCACTGTGCCAAGCACTGGGGATACAAAGAAAGGCAAAAGACTGTTCCTGCCCCTCCCCAGGAGCTGACACTCTAATGGAAGATAGAACATGCAGACAAAATGATGTACAGATAACATCTATACAGTATACATAGCCTTGGGGGGGGCACAAAGGACCGTTCCCCCAAACTAGGTCAAGCTCCCTTGCAGAAGGGCATTTGAGACCATTCAAATGTTTATGAACCCCAAATCTGATCTAGTGGCTATTTTATTTATTTTTTTAGACAATTGGGGGTCAGTGACCTTCTCAGGGTCACACAGCTAGTAAGTGTCAAGTGTTTGGTCTGAAGCAGATTTCGAACTCAGGTCCTCCTGACTTCAGGGCCGGTGCTGTATCCACTGCTCCACCTAGCTGCTCCCCTAGTGGTTATTTTTTTTTTTTTTAAAGACTGTAATAATAGTTGACCTTGGGAGTAGAAGTGTGATTTCACTGAAGCAGGGAATTCCTGATCACTGCAGGCCCCAATGCTCCTTCCTCCCTGCAGCTTAGAGCTGCCTGGAGCACTGATCTGCCCAGGGTCATACAGCAAGGATATAACAGTCCAGACTTAAACCCAGGCTTTCCCGGCTCTTTATCCTTCTTGCAATTCTGCCTCTCTACAAAGCACTATACAAACACTAATTGGTTTATTTTTGGTCTGGACATATGATTTTACTGGTGTGTGAAACACCCAGGGTGGAAGCTCTTCCCACCAGTGAAGATTGTTAACTTTAACTTAAGAGTTTTGGATGGTTGCCTGAAGGACTGAAAAGTTAAGTGAGTGACCCAGAGTCACACAGAAAAGGTGGGATTTGAACTCAGGTCTTCCTCTTAGGTTTGCCCTTCTCTATTCACCATATCACTTTGCCTTTCGTCAGGTATTGTCATCATCATTATCTCAAACCAGTCAACACTTGATTCCTTTTTTTCCTTTCTTAGAACATGTCTCCTCCTCTCTCTCTGACCTCCTCTCCAGCTTCTGTACCATGGGGTGGGTCAAGCTTCACAGAGGTTAATGAGGGAACTGGATAGAGCAGATTTTATCTATTTAGGCTTTTGTCTTCAAACCTTAAGGGAAGTCTGCCTCTTCTGTGTCCATCCCGGGGCTGGCAGAGAATGACAGAGATTGGGAGAATACTGTGAAGCAGGGCTGTTCCTAGGAGAGGGCAACAAGCACTTTGTCCCAGGGCAGAAATTTACATCACTTTTAGTCATTCATTGGCACAGAAACAACTGAGATTAGTGCCTAGTTAGCAGGAGTAGTTAAACTAGGCAGCTCCCACATGGCAGGCAACTTTCTGTTTTTCTTCCTACTGCCCACCCTTTATCCCCATGGGTATACCCCAGGTGAGCTCCTTCTGCCACCCATTCCTCCCTCTCCGTCTTATATCTATGGTCTCCCATAACTGTATTTCTTATTGTGACTCTGATTCAGAATGGATGGATTGAGGTGGGGATGAACTGGCTTTGCTTTTGCAATGGCTTTGAGGAATTATTAGTTAATAATTTAGAATTAATTAATAATTAATATAAGTTAATAATAGGTTAAGGAATTATCTCTTAGTATTCAATTAAAAAGCATTTGTTAAGCACCTACTATATACAAAACCCTGGAAATAGAGACAAAAAAGCAAAGCTTCTCTGGCCCAAATCCTTTCTGCTCTCAAGTCAGCCCAAATCTACTTGGCTTCAGCCAGAAAGAATGCTAAGGTTTTCCTGGGGCTGGAGGTGTGGGCATAGCTTCAGGGGTAGGAGGGGGAGGGGAAGGGGAAGGGAAGAAGCATTTTTATAGCACCTACTATGTGCCAGTCCCTGTGCTAAGCATTTAACAAATGTGATCTCATCTGAGAACTTAGAAGTAGTTAAGTCCCTTTGAGGATAATTTCCTGTTTGTTTCAGGTTCTGCTGGTGGATCTGTGTGAAGGAAGCTTCTTAAAATCAGTAAGTCAGATACACCTGTCCCACTATCCCTACCGCTTTTTCACTCCTCTGCCCTTCGTATGACCACTCAACACACCTAGATTGGGCACTAACCATATGGGGGATAGGAAGAAGTCTTCAAGACACAAAGTGCTTGTTCTCCAGGAACTTTACGAGATTTGTACAACAAAGGTGATATAAAATAAGCGCCCTATGAGTAGGATAAACAAGAGAATTATAGGAGGGAGAGAACTTGTTAGTCTTCTTCGGACTCAGATGCAAACTGGACCCTAAAGGAAAGCTGATGGGCTCTCCCAGGCCTGGAGACTTGTTGTGGAGGTGCAGGTAACAGAGAGAGATCTGTATTCTTTTCTTTCCTTCCTTCCTCTCTCTCTCCCTCCCTTTCTTTCTCTCGTCTTTCCAGCTTTTCTCTTTCATTGTTTCTTTCTCTCCTTCCTTTTATTTCTTTCTCTCCTTTCTTTCTTTCTCTTCTTTTCTTTCTTTCCTTCTCTCTTTCTTTCTTTCTCTCCTTCCTTCTTTCTTTCCTGCTCTTTTGGAGAGATTTATTTTTTAGGAGTGGTGATGAGTCTGGATCTGTGATTTCATCAGTATAGGAAACTTTTCTATACGGTACAGAGACTTTTCACTGATGCCTATTGTCAATTTATCTTTTTCCTGTAGTTACAAAACTATTTGGGGCAAATAAAAGGGTGTGATTTGCTTATAGTCACAGAGCTAATTTTTTTTGAGACATGATTTGATTTCCCACTCTTGCTAATCTTCTACTGGCCTCCTTTCCCCTCACTTCCCTCCTCTTCCCCCCTCCCCCCATTTGACCTCTGACCTAATTCTTAATTCTCTCCTAGGTTGGAGATGAAGGGGATGTCTTACCCCCTAAGCTGCAGAATGCCATTTTATCTTCTCTTGCCCAAGGGAATAATGACCTGCAGAGTAAGTCCAAGAATCCCACCTCCTTCCTCCAATTCACGTTTTTGCTTTCTTCACTCAGCACTCCAGGACTGAGGGTATCCAAAGGACTCAACCACGAGACAGGCTCTCCTGGGGGGAAACATCATTCCACTTTAAAAAGCCCTCATCAGGCACTATGGTCCCTGGTCTCCAAAACCTGCGGGCCAGATATCCTTGCTTCCCCATTGTCAAATGGCCAAAGAAGGAACCTGTGCCCTACTTCCCTACCTCCCGCTTAAATTTGCAATCCTGAGACACACAAGGAACTCAATCTTTAGTGAAGGCCACAACCGCCACACCTTCTGTCCAGCCCCACTTCTTCCTTCTGGGTAAAAGGGACAGTGAACGACCGTCTTGAAAGGCTCTCTATGTCCTTGCAGCTTTGGAGCAGGTCAATGAGCATGTCTCAGGTCCCTTCGTGCAGTTCTTCATCAGGACTGTGGGCCATTATGCCTCCTACATCAAGTGGGGGCCAGATGGGCAAGGCAGCTTCCAGGAGAGATCCTTCTGTAAGGCCCTGCCCTCCAAAACAAGCCGCCGGTTTGTGAAGAAATTTGTAAAGACGCAGCTGTTCTCCCTTTTCATCCAGGAAGCAGAGAAGAGCAGGACCCCCCATGCAGGTGAGCACTTCCAGGCTCACATCACACCCCTGTAGGTTTAGATGATGCAGTTGTCGGTGTGTGTGTGTGTGTGTGTGTGTGTGTGTGTGTGTGTGAGATGGGGAGGGCACATGGAAAGGAAAGTGGAGGGCAAACAGTAAACATCTAGAAACTGCTCTGTGGTCTGACCTTTTGAAAAGGTTCTACCATCTTGTCAGTAGGCAGACGGTCTCATTTCTCGCCATAATCTAGGGGTAGGGGAGCAATCCTTATTTTTTAGCCTTGATGGTCCGCTTCTCCCATTGGTTGATTCTTTCTATTTTTGGAAAAGATGGAGAAAAGGTCAGCCATTTCTATATTGGCTCTGCTTCTAACTTTCAGGACTTCAACATCATGGCCCAACTTGGGTACCTTCTCTTCCCTCTCTCTTACTTTTCAGCTCTTTTGCTGTCTTTCTCCATGAGAATGTAAGCTCCTTGAGGCTGGGGACTAGTGCTTTGCAAAGTGCCCAATACATAGTAAATGCTTAATAAATGCTTGTTGCCTGCCTGTCCAAGCACAGACTCACCATCAGACTCACTGCCTGCTGTAGCTCTCCTGGTGTTGCAAACCCCTTCCTCCCCTCACCTTTAGAGTGTGAGTTGCAGAGACCACGTTTTTGCCTTTCTTTGTATCCTGAATGCTCACCACAGTACCAGACACATAGTAAGCCCTCAATAAAGGCTTGGGCAGAATCTTCAGAACTCCTAGGATATAACTGGATGTAGGCTCAGACCCACGGTCTATATCGGACCCTCGGGATCTGAGTATTGGCTTAGATCCATCTTCTGTGCCTTTGGAGAAAGGACAAATGAGGGAATTAAGAACTCCCTTAAATCCCTGGAGGATGTAAGAGGCTTGTGCCCAGGATGGGGAGTTGGGTATTTTCTGCTTGTGTGGCTTAAGTATGTTATCTGACAGGCGCATCTGGATTTACAGGGTACTTCCGACAGAAAATCACTGAATATGAGGAACAGAAGAAACAGAAGAAACCAAAGGAACAGACTGTGAAGTAAGGGATGTGGGAGGCAGGAACAACTCAGCCTGCAGCCCAGCTTTGTCTGGAGCAGACTTGGACTCTGTCCTGAGCTAGAACTGGTTTGGTCTTGGGACCCTGGCACCTCCAGGTTCAAGGGTGGGTTACCTTTGGCAGCCGAACCCTGTTTCAAGCCGGTACTTGGAGCAAGTACCTCCGGATTTTCACAGGGGCCAGCTTTTTCCTTCCCAAGAAAAGATCCCAGGGCTCTAACCCCTTATTTTCTGGAAGGGGGTGCCAAGCCAGGCAGCGATTAGGTAATAGCTGCTGTGACTCCCCTGAGCATTCTTTTTCCTAGAAATTCTGAACCTGGTGCTTTGCTCCTTCCTTTGGGACTACTGTTCTCAGTATCTAGTATAAGAAGCAGAGAACAGCTCTCACCCAGAGGTCCAAATTCTTAACAAACCAAGCCTGTGAGAATGTGAATAAAGGTGAAAAATGTTCATGTTATTAGGTATCTCTCTTGAGTATCCCAGCATAGAAGAGCAGAGTTGAAGAGCATGGCCTTCCAGAATCATTTCTTCTAGAATTATTCAATGTTAAGCACTCCCCTTTATGCTAATAGCTACAGATTATTGGTTGTCTATATTGATGGTCAATGTTGATTCTAATGAATCCTACATTATGGCCCCAGCATTCTTTGCCTTCTTTTTCACCCAAGTGCATTACTATTGGGTTAATATTGGGCCTACACTTATGGCCAACTCCTTCCTTGGAGGACAGCACTACCTTGGCTGTGATTTTGGCCAGTGTTAATGGAACTCCAAGGGAGATTTGTTCCGGGGCGAAGGTCTCAACTGTTGGTGATAAAGGGAAAAGAGGCTTTGGAGTGTGAGGACATGGGTTCTAACCTTTCCTCAGTTACTCTGTATAACCTTGAACAAGTCCCTTTCTGGGCTTCATTTTCCTCACCTGTAAAATGGGGGAGTGGGAGGGATGTTGGACTCTGAGACCCTGAGAGAGACTTTCCACCTTTAAATCTATGATCTTATGAACAGAACCAGCTCAAGTCTGCAGGACCCAGACTTCAGGCTGGTGCTCCCCAACAACGGTGGGATTGGCTCTAGTATAGGCCATGGGGGAGTGGGACAGGGAGAGGACTGTTTAGGGGACTCGCCCTGCCATTAAGGGTAGCCTAAAGTCCATAAGAATGCCACATGTGAAACACTCTGCTTTGCCCCTGTGCTCACTTACCAGTTTAGTGAGACAGGTGAATGAAACTAGAGAAAGCTGAGGATAGGTACCTTGAGGTATTAGAGAAACAATTAACTTTCAGGGAAAACAAGAAAATCTCAGTAAGGGAAAAGAGATAAGGCCAAGAACACTCATTTTCATTGAGGTGGGGTGGGGGGCACTAATATCCCATTTCTCTACCAATCTAGTCAGTCTCCACTTTTGGATACTATCTTGTGATTGACCTGAAACAAGCCCAGTTCAACTATTAAATGTTGGCTGTGATGGTCTTTCTTCTCACTAAGAAAATAGGATCATAAAACATTAATAGCTGTAAATGACTTTAGAGGATGGCCACATGAAATCTGTCACCTCTATGACAACTGACGACGCTTATCCTCTGCCCACATGCTTCCTGTGTATGGAGAACTGACTTTGGAAATTACTGCCCTACGCTTTCAAATTGTGTCACTGATATGAAGGCAGGTAGGTGGCACAGTTAATGGGGCACCAGACATGGGAGGCAGGAAGATCTAAATTAGAATTCTGATTCAGACTCTAGCTGTGTGAACCCAGGCAAGTCCCCTAACATCTGACTCAGTTTCTTCATCTGTAAAGTGGGGATAACAATAGCACCTCCCTCCCAAGGTTGTTGTGAGGATCAAATAAGATAACACTTTGCAAACCTTAAAAGCACTATAAAAATGCAAGCCCTTAGATATCAGCAGTCCATAGTGCTCATGAATGCTTAATGAAGGACAAGAATATGGTGGGAACCTTAGCCCTAAGACAGGTTAGCATCAAACATTTTAGGCCTCTAAAGCCCAGGAAACACCTCCTGGTGTTCTACTACTAGCCATGTTACATGCCAAATTAACTTTCAAGACTAGTGTGCCCTTTTAAATAAGTGACAGAACAGGAAACACTACAGTTACTGAGCCACTTTAACATAAGGACCCAATTAGGGTACATTTCAAATGAGATCCTGTCTAAATGAGTCTGGGATGGAGAGACAATCATCTATCAGATAACTGAACACTTGCCAGCTCTATCCAGGAATGGAGTCTATAACATGCACATCAGAGCTGGTCCTAAATCTATGTTATGTCAGTAAATAAACACTTGTTAAGTACCTACTACATACCAGACACTGTGCTAAGCGCTAGGGATACAAAGAAAAGCAGAAGATAACTCCTATTCTTGAGGAGATACCAAAAAACTATGTAAGCTAGATGTACAGGAGAAATTAGAGATCATAGAGGGAAGGCACTAGAATTAAGGGGAACCAGGAAATGCTTACTATAGAAGAGGGGATTTTAGCTAGGAATTGAAGGAAGCGAGGGAAGCCAAGAAGCAGAGATGAAGAGGGGAGAGCATTCCAGGCATGGGGGACATCCAGTGAAAATGCTCAGAAACGAGAAATGGAATCTGGCCTCAGACCAAACACTTGACACTTACTAGCTGTGTGACCCTGGGCAAGTCACTTAACCCCAACTGCCTAAAAAAAAAATGAGAAATGGAGTTTCTTGTTTGAGGAACAGCAAGGAGGTCAGTGTCATTAGACTGAAGAGTAAGGGGTAGGGAGTAAGGTACAAAAAGACCAGAAAGGTAGGGGTGGGGAGAGGATCTTGTATTTGATCGTAGAGGTTGATAGGGAGTCACTAGAATTTATTGAGGAGGGGAGTGACAAAGTTGCACTTTGGTGACTGAGTGGAAGATGGCCAGGAGTGAGCAGAAACTTATGGTAGAGACCAGCCAGCAGGCTACTGTGACAGTTCAGGGATGAGCTGATGAGGGCCTGCCCTGGGGTGGTGGCAAATGTCAGAGAACTGACTGTATGTGAGGTTATGAAGGTAAAATTGATAGGCCTATAAGGTGGGTGAGAAGTCTACAAAGGCATGTAGGCTGGGAGTCTGGGAGACTGGAAGGACTTGACAGTAACAGGAAAATTAGGAAGAGTGGAGTATTTTGGGGAAAAGATACTGGAATAAATTTTGGACATGTTGAGTTTAAAGTATCTAATAGGCAGCTGAAGTTGCAAAAATGGAAGTCAGCAGAGAATTTTGGCCTGGACAAGGTTTGAGAATTATCAGCATAGTTAAATCTACGGGAGCTAATGAGATCACCAAGTGAGAGTATAGAGGGAGTAAAGAAGAGGGCCCAGGACAGAATCCTTTGGGACAGCTAGTTATTGGGCACAACACAGATGAAGATCCAGCAAAGGAGACAGAGAAGAAGCAGCTGGATAGAACTGGGAGAGGATAACGTTGCAAAAGCCTGGGGTGGGATGGGGGTGGTAATCAAGAAGTGGGTGATTTTTTTTTCTTTTTCTTTTGGAGAGGCAACTGGGGTTAAGTGTCTTGCCCAGGGTCACACAGAAGCGGGTGACTGACAATGTCAAAGGCTGCAGAGATGTCAGGCATGAGGATTACCAATGCATTGGGCAACCAAGAGATCATTGGTAACTTAGAGAGAGCAGCTTGGTTTGAATGACATCATTGAATGAGCCAGGCTGTACAATTAAGGAGAGGAAATGTGGGCGCCTCTTGTGATAGAAGGCATCTGGGATAGGTGGGTTGAGAAGAGGAAGCTTTCAGTGAATGACCTCAATTTTGTCTGTTTAAGAAGCAAGGGTCTCAGCTGGGAGGGTGGGTGAACTATGGGAGGTTTGAGGAGGGATGGAAAGATTCAGAGGAGCTGCCGTGCTGAGTGGGATAGTGAGTCAACTATGGAAGTGTAAAAAAGACTGTCGTGATGAAGTGAGGTTCCAGTTGAGATTACAAAACAAATCTGCTGGGAATCCAATTAGCACGGATTTGATTTTCCACTGGCTTTGTTTGGAAGCATGTGAGAAGCAAATGCAGCAGATGGTGGGAGTGATCCAAGGCCAAGGCTTGGAAGGGCAATATTAGCAATAGGATCAGGGGCAAGGGATTCAAAAGAAAAAGAGTGTAGAGTTGAACTGGTTCCCTAAAGGGAGAGTGTACTCAGTGCAGGGATAGGGGCCTGGGAAAGAACTGATGGGTGATGGATTGGAGGAGATGGTTAGGCAGAGGGAGAGGTGGAATGACAGTAGGTTGTGACTGGATAAGACAATTTTGGGGTTCACGAACATGGAAGTGGAGTGACAGCAAGATCAAGGGTATAACCATCTCTGTGTCTGAGATGGGGTGGAAGAGTAACTGGTCATGGGAAATGAGCAAGTTAAAGACTGGAGTCGGGGAGAAGTGTTTCAGGGAGTATCACCATGTGTGCTGAAGTCCCCTCAGTGTGAGGGCAGGAGTTGGGGAGGAAAACTGTTAGCCAGTCACAGAATATAGCCTTTCTCTGGGTTACTGGTATGAATAGTGATGTCTTGGCGAGATCTTATACTAGGACTACATCCCATTTACACACTATTATATATAGTTATTAAAGCACCTTACTCACAACCACCCTATGAGTATTATCACCCCCATTTTACAGATGAATTAACCATCCTGCTTAACACACATGGGCTTTGAAAAGCAAATGCAGCTATTGATAATCCAGGGAAATGAATAACAAAGATCCCATGAACGACTAAATTCAGATAAGGCAAAAAATGCAGTTAAGTTAATGGTTTAAATCTTTTCTGTTAAAGGGCCTTGTACTAGTCTCTCACCCCCCTCATAAAGCAGTGAAAACTCTTCTAATAAGACCATTGGAACAGTGATACAAAAGGGCATCACATTTCTAACTCTATCTTAGCTATTCTAAGTAAAGAGCCAAGAAAGTAACCCCACTGATTATTTTTTTTGTGGAGGGCTTTGATATCTCTATATGACCAATTCTTGAAAGGATAACAAGGACCTTTAAAAAAAAAAAACCCTCACTAAAAAGCTTCAATTTCTCCTCCCACAAGTCAGCAGAATGTTTACACACCACAGAAGGGCCACAGTATAGATGAAGACAACACAACTAATAGAATTTCCTTATTTATTAAAGAGCAGAAATAAATTTTGCTTAAATTTTATACAAAAAAAACATTAAAACTTAGTTTTTAAGTTTTTTCACTGGAATAAAATTGAGAAGTAAGTTGGCTTTTAGATAATATATTTATTTAAAAAAATAAAAGTAATTGACAAAAGATACCACATTATACTTCATGCTGAAAGGCTCTCCCCAGGCCCAGAAGGCCGTCACTCATTCTTCAGTAACACTTGGCCTTCCCCAGTAATGTAAACACAGGAACCCCTTCAACCCAGTCTCACAGTCACCAGCACTAGCTCAGCCACAAGAGCCAGGGGGACATCTCT